TATTTATTGACAATTTCATTTACATGTAGAGGAATTATGACAACTTTCATGTCATTCTTCACATGATTGTCATAGTTCTTTAAGTGTTCTCATAAGCTCCTCCATTGTCAACGATTTCTTTAGTTGTGACATTTTTCAAATGGATCTGAATATTGTATCCATTGAATAGGGGACAAAGGACTGCTGATATCATCAACAAAGCTTTCTGTCAGTGGGAAAAATATTAGCTGCTAAATTTTGCCAAACCCAACAAAACAACACATGGGCTAATTTGTCCAGCACATGCAAAAACAAACCAATCAATGGCCTCAAACAACCAACAAACTCTCAAGCTAGCCTTATTTACCTGAGGTCTCAAGCAACCTCTGGGTCAAGCAGTGTAGAAAGTATCATGGCAACAAAAGTTGTATAAATAAATCTTTTTATAAATATTTCTGAAAAACATGAATGAGTTAGTGTTACATAAAAAATTGAAATAGAATTCATGTGATAGGAATAAATGTTATTCTAAAATGAAGATTCCAAAATATATAACTACGTTTTAGATGTAGATAACACAAGATGTCAATGTCCCATTTCTCAAGTTTAGTAACTGACCAATGAATTAAACAAGTCTCTAAAGAAGTTAAAGAAAGGCTAAAACTATAAATATTTAGAAAAAAGTAAAAAATTAATAAATATTATTCTTACAAAAATTATTGTTATTTTAAGGTTGGCAAACAAAATAATTTAAAAAAATATTAATTCTAAAATAGAAATATAGTAGGAATCTCCAAATTTCATTGTGAAAATTTGATACTTGAGTAAAAAACTTATGAAACATGTATAAAACTTAATTTTATGGTCATTTTTTTCTGCTAATCAAAAATAGAAAGAATTCTGATATAAATTTTAACCAGATTTGGATATATTTGTATTTAAAAATGTTGTTTACTTTATGTAAATACTATCACCATAAAATATCATTGCTTTTTTTGGGTCATAGAAATATGTTGATCATAAAAGTCTCCCAAAATTCAGGAAATTATTGAATTTTAATTACACACCACCAGAGAAACACAATACCTAAGGTTTAAAATGAATTTTTAAAAATGAAAAATCTTTCTTGAAGTTTTTATTTTAGTTTTAATTTCAAGCTACTAGATAAAATTTAATATTTCCAATATTTTGCTGTATTTCAAAACTAATTTAAATTGACTGGAAGGAGTTTTCATTTTGAAATTGCTAAAATTACTAATTTTAGCAACATTTTTAGCCATCTTTCATCACAATGTAATTCTCTTTATTAAAATAAATTTTCTAAAAAGACCATATGCAAGCTTTTGACAATTGATTAATGATGTTTGTAAAAGTACTGGTTGAAGAAAAACCGAAAACAAGATATCATTTTAAGTGCCAGCAAGGCCATATGTTAATTATAAAAATTTTGGCATGAGAAAATATCTCAAAAGAATTGCCAATTTGAAGATAAAGAGATTTATTTTTCTTTTCCGAGAAGCCAAGGAATCCCGCAGACCTTGACAATTGATTGATGTTGTTTGTAAAAGCACGGGTAAAGAAAACATGAAACAGCCAAAGAGCGAAATCATATCATTCGAAATCACAAGTTCCTAGAAGTCAGCCAAGCCACGACGGGCCATATGTTATTTGTAAAGTCAAAAAAGGGAATTTTAAAATGTTGATAAATTTTAAACTCGAAGATATCAGAGATTTTTAGAGACAGGGTCATGCGTTTTTCGTAAGAATTTTGGCCGGTGAGAACGAGAACTTTGTAAACAAAAAAAAATTCTGGTTTATAATTTTAATGAGGCCAGCTTAGCCACACCTGCATGGCCGGGATGCCATTGGTCGAGTGGTAGCAATGGTGACAGGGGGAGGTAATTTGATGAGAAAGACAGGAAAATTATTAATGACCACTGAAGGGAATTGGTATGAGGTACCAATGTGAGAAGGAGGGAGTTTAGAAGGATAGCTATCCCGTAACCTCTCCTCATGGATGAAGGGATCCCCCCAAACATGGAATGTGATTAATTTTCCAAAATGAAGAGTAATCAATTTTCCTGGCTGGGCAACAAAGAGGTTACTTGTCAGAAATTGGGATTTACCGAAAACCCAAGGTTGTGTCTAACCCCGCACCGGGTTTTGGTTGGTGTCCATATAAGCGAGCGCCCTTGGACAGTTTGCCAGTTGGAGTTGAGTAGTTGTTGAGAGTACAGTTACAGTTGAGTTGGAGCAGTTCGAGTAGTAGGAACCAGAGCATTGACTCGCAGAAGCTGATCAAGAGATTCCATGACCTCCAACTTCACCTATCCTACCAAAAGCAAGTTATACTGATGAACGAAGCTAAGCCAGCACTTAAAAACTAAACCAGTTCACTTAGAAAACTAGAACTTTCCTAAGAAGCATAAAAGTGTCACTCTCCGAAGAAAACAGGTTAGGAGAAAAACACAAACTCCTGTATATAACAGATAGATAAAAGTTAATTTGTTTCTTTCAACATACTTGAACCTCTTGGATTTTTATTTACTTCTTTTCTTTATGCTTGTGTGATATCAACTCCAGTTTAGACTCATCTTACACTACGGCTCGATGCCTGATTGATCTCGTCTACCTAAGATCAAAATCACAATGTGGGTAGGTTAGACTTGAGATCGAAGTAATTGCTTCGGTAACCAAACATTGGAAGTGAGCTGAGAACAATGGAGCTGGTGTTGAACTGGTTGCATCTGGTGTGAAGCTTTTTGAAATCGACCGGTCATCTCACTTGGTACCCTGACCAAAGGATCCTGCCAGGCAGCAACGACCACCTATCAAACGGGACACAGGTTGGTGGCAGCGACTAAGAGTCAACCCCAAGATGCTGGTAGGAGAAATATTGCAGTTCTGCGCTGTGACTTGGAGTTGACCACAGGCCAATGACTCAGTGTCACATCCAACCTTGAACTGACTGGTGTCACAATGAATTCCATATTGCTTATTTGAAAAAAAAAAAAAAAAGAAAAAAAAAGCCCTGCAATGTGAGATGATTAACCAATTCAGCATTGATTGGGACCTCTAGGAGTTTCCCAAAAAGAGGTAGAAGGCTAATAGACCGATAGTTGGAAGGGTTGGATGGTTCACTAGAGTTCTTAAAAACTGGGACTACAGATGAGGACTTCCGGCAGGCAGGAAAGCAAGTGATGGTGAGGCACTTATTATACAGTTTAGAGAGAACAGGAGACAGTTTGGGAGTACACTTCTTACAGGGACACCATCAGGTCTACATGCTTTGTAGGGATCCTGGTTATATGATAGCAGAAACCATAGAAGGGGTTATATTCATATCACTCAACAGAGACTCAGTTTTAGGTGAGAAGTTAGGCAGGGATACTCCAGATGTGTCAAGAGTAGAATTTAAGGAGAATTTACAGGGGAAACAATCAGCTTTATCAAATTGATTGAAGAGAGGAGGGATAGAGAATGTACACTTATTTAGTACACTATTACAGAGCCGCCAGTAATCACAAGAGCTAAAGTTTTTAGATGCAATATGGTGCTCATTTGAGGACTCATTTACATTACGAGCAGCAACAAATAGGCATCTGTTGTGATGGAAGGTAACATGCTAGTATAACTGAAAATAGTGGTTCCTATGGGCCATAGCATGCTGGTGTGAACCATGGAGAAGATTGAGGTTTCACTTGGTATTTTAGAGAAGGAATGAAAGCATGCATACCAGCTTTGACCCAAGAGAAAACCTTAGTGGCACAATTCTCAATTTGAAGGTTAAAAATGTCAGTCCAGAGGGCATCGCAATGAAAATCATGGAGTAAATCCCAATCAGAATGCTGGTAATGGAAAAAGACACCATTATAAGACTATAAATAGGAAGTTCCTGTTTAAAAGATGATTGGAACGAAACATCAATAGATGCTACAAAGTGATCCGAGTTTCCAAGAGGACAGTGTTGCAAAGCTCATCAAGAGTCAGGAGAGGAGGTAAGAAATAAGTCAAGTAAAGGAGCCTGTTCGGATTGGCTCATAACTTTCTTTTTTTCATCTTCTCAGCTGACCAGCTAATTTCTGTGAAGGCAAGATATTATTATTTTGCACTCACTACAAAATAAAAGGTGATGAGGACTACAAAATTTCATAAGAATTTTTTTTTTTTTACATTAAACTAGAGTAGATAGTGCATTGATTTCTCATGTCTGCATGGAAACCACTGCTGAACTATTTTAGTACAACTGTCTTCTATAATTGCTCCAATACTTCACTTGTTTATAAGCTACAAGATTTTTCTTTTATTTTGAAAATAAAAATCTACTTCCTAAATTTTTTCTCAGTGAAAATTTTATTTCTTTAAATATCATAATAATCATTTTTATCGAAATATTTTATTACTTGAAACCAAAACGTTTTAAATGTGATTTTTTTTTAAAGTAGAATTTAAGATTTTTTCACGTAGTTCAATCGATTAAAGAAAGATTGATTAAAATATCTATTTTCCATAATATTATCTTGAGGTTACGATTATTTTTATTTTTAATAGATTTGTTTACAATATCGAGTTGTCAATCAGGTAAAACTCGTTGAAATTTTTACCGATTAAAAAGTCAATTTTGGTTTTTCCTTTTACCGACGTGTGAAAGCAAACTTTTACTTTTTTAAATGTTATTAAGGGATGAAAGAATACAAAACAAACTTTACTAACTACTGACAAAGTGATTTTTCCGCTCTTAAAAATACACTTTCTACATTACTGACAAATATAGTGTAAAAAGTAAAAACTGAGAAGTATTAATTAAATATTCACATTATTACTCGTCGTAGAGACGTAAAAAAAAACCCTAAAAGATAAAGAAACGCATTCATTAGGTTGATTTTTAAGTAAAAAAAAAAAAAAAATCGCCATGTTTTGTTAGGATTTGCCACATGTATACATACAAATATTATTCATTCAGCAGTTATACATAAATTGCAAGAACGTAAAAAATACAATTTCCATACAAGAAAGCATACCTGCAACGAGGCCATGACTCTAACACGGTGTTAGCGCAAATTAATACCATATTTAAATTGTTCCATTAACCTTAATGTTAGTTAAAACAGTTTATAAAACTAATAATTTATTCAATCTCAACAATAAAAGCAATCATTCATTTCTCATCACAGTTTGCGTTTATTTCATTTTTCCTTAAAGTTTCATGGTAAATTTATTTTTTTAAACGTAATTATATAGACATGTAATGGGCAAAGTTTAACCTTCGTGCCTTTTACTGACTGTTACCGAGCAATGAATTGTTAGAGGTGTACCTCCACCCCACGCAACCACCTAGAAATTATCTTAAATTTACTATAGTTACCGTTCGTATTTTCTGATAATGTCATGGATAGATGTCCGTATTTACAAAATTTGACATGTTTGTACACATAAAATAAATTCAAATTTTTTTTTAAATACTGGGGACTGTTGAATTGTGGTATACTTTTTCATTTATGATTTATTTTAGCAAATACAGTTTTAATTTACTAACAAATTTTGATTACTACAAATTTTAAAAGTTTATAAATTATTCTTATAATGTTTTTAAAAAAAAATGAATGTAATTCTTGTAAAAATTCATTCATCAAAAAATAATTTTCTTAAGACAATAGTATCCATGATATACGTTATACATAAAAGTAATTAAAGCTTTTATAATTAAATAATGTCTTAGTTTTAGTGCATTTTTTATTTTATGATTCAGTGCAGATTTTCTGTAACTCAGAAAGCATTCTAATACTTTTTTAAACAAAACGAATTGATGATTTAAATTCTCCAAGGAACTTATAACTAATATAAACATTAAGTAATACAAAAAAAAAATTTCTCAAAATTTTATGAAACAGATGTAAAAAAAAAAAAAAAAAATATTTTTACAATGATTTTCTAAAAAGAAATGTTTAAAAATAATTTCATTCATTTGTGAATAAGCCCTGAAAGTTTCATTAAAATCTGACAATTATCTGATTTTTGAAAGAATTTCAAAATCAATGTGTTTTTATTACAGCAAAATTATACTCAAATTTCCTGAAAAACAAGATTTTTAACTAAAATTCTCAACGTTCTAAAATGGTTTAAACAAAAAAAAAAAAGAATAAATAAAAAAAATCCTATGATATTCCTTTTTAGTAATAATTTTGATAAAATTTTCTTATGTTTTGTGCATTTTTTCATGTATACTCTTTCTTAGAAAATTTTTGGAGGTATATACAGGTTAGTTATATTATAAAACTTTTATGGGTATCTTCCATTTTAGCAACCAAAACGTTTTTAGCATACTAACTACCAAATTACCTCATTTAGATTGCTTTACCCAGTTGCATATTCTGATAATATATTTTCTTTACATGAATACATATTTATGAAAGAAGAGTTGTTTCTGTGTCCATCACACACTGTGTGTATTTCCATGCACATATGTAATTGTAATGTCATGAGTGACTTACATGTACTTGTGCCACTTAATGTATACACACACACATACATACATACATAATTTGACCGAGCTTGAAATTAGACACTGGAATAATACATCCTCCCACCCCAACTCAGTCTAGACAATCCTTACCATGTGCTGTGTATAAAGTTGAGGGGAAAAAAAGTTAATTTTAAAGTTAACCCTAAAAAAAAAATCAGATAATAAGATGAGATTTTTATTGAACTTTTCAGAAATTATTCAGTAGTAAATGGAATTATTTTAAAATTTTCTTTTTTTTTAATTTTGTAGAAATAATTTTAGGTTTTAAAATATACATGCACATACACACACACACATTGCATTTGAATGAAATAGCAATGTACTTTTGTGTTGTGAGGATTCATTGCCCTTCTGTTTAGCCACAACCTCTTTGAAGATCATTTTTATGATTTGGTCTGTATTTAAACTGAATATATTCTGTAATAAATGTAATATTTTAAATTAACAAACAATTTATATTTTAAATTTTATCATTTTGCTAACAGTGAAGTAACAGCTACAGAAATAAAGAAAAAATGAAATATAATTCAGGTTCTGTAACCAATAACAATTTATAAAAGGAAATATATATTTTTTTAAATATTAGCCTTTAAATATGAAAAAGACTTGTGTCAGAAATAGTGTTTGAAATTCAGTATAATTTATTCTAACTTAAATGTGATAAGTAGAATTTTATTTAATTTGAAATCTATGCAAAATATCTGATCAGAATACATAAATTGGTCATTCAAAATTTTTATTATTGAATCAGAGCACTCAAAGCCACAATGATCATTACTACTACTTCCTTTGTTAAACTGCTGTTCAGTCAAATTGCCTGAGTGTCCCATTTCCCCACCACTATTAATTTAATACCTTCCTTGACAACATTTCTATATTGTTGTGATCAACTATAACACAGAAAAAAATAATTACTGGATTTTTGGAGGGTTTTATTTCCAGAAAAGTAAACACTTCTCAAGCCTGAAATGGTTTTATTGATAACCTCTTACCAAAGATTACCATTATTGTTTTGCATCTGCATCCAGCTCCAAAAGTACAGCTTTAAAGTAGCCAATAAGTTTCAAGTCTTAGCATCTCCAGACCAGCTTCAGAAGAATAGAGGTAACAAATCCTCTGATAAACAACAGATCTGTAACTATAGGGGAGTTTAAACATCTCTTTCAAGTTGCACTAGAGAGTGGATGGGAATAAAGCCCCTTAAAGGAAGATTCCTTTAAAAATACAAAGTGAATTCTTCTACAAATGGAAGCTGTTCTTTAAGCCATCACTCTAAATCAAGGATCAATATGTCCAATGGCAATCTGGAGTTCATAGTTACATCATTATTGCTTATTTTATACTGGTGGCAATTTTGAGAATGCTTTTCCCCAGGTGAATGTGTTTTGTATTTCAGAAATGTTATATAAAATTCTATATTTGTGAATGTTAGATTTTACCTAGGCAGTGAAAAAATAAGATTTTTTAAGAAAGCTTAGCTGTATGAAAAAGGGTGATCAAGACAAAGCCTGCGTAACCCATTTAGTGTGTAAAACATGTATTGAAGAAAGCTTTTCATAGATAGCTCAAGTTAGTCTTATGCGTGTTCTGCTGTATAATGGCAATGTGTTTGCTTCTATACCAATTGGACATTCTGTAACACTAAATGAAAACTATGATTGCATGAAAATAGTGCTTGAAAATATGTGCTGTGAGGAGCACAACTGGACTTTGCTTCTTGGTCTATAAGGTGATTATAGCAAATATTGCTTTTTGTGTCTAGGACAATTGAGCAAAAAGTGACCATTAGACATGAAAGACATGGACAGACAGAAGGGAGTTAAAAATTTCAGAGAAGAATGTTTTAAACAGGCCTCCACTTAATCCCAGGAAGGTTTTGCTTTCCCTATTGCATATCAAGCTTGAACTGATGAAGCAGTTAGTGAAAATCTTGAACCAGGTTTGTTGAGTAGAAAATTTTAAAACATTGTAAGAAAATTAAGACTGGTGTGTTTGACAGACCACAGTGTAGGTAGCTATTGCAGGACAAGCTGTTTATGGTGAGCATGTCTGGCATTGAAAAATAAGTATGGTAGGTTTTGCTTCAGTTGTGTTTGGTTTCCTGGAAAATAGGAAGTTGTCAAAAGGAAAAGGAAACAAGTTTCCAGTTCTAAAAAAAAAAAAAAATTGTTTTTATTTTGTCGTTTTTAACACTGTAGTTGTCTGAACAGATAATTCAAAGCGTGTAATTTCCAAAGTAAACTTGGACATAACTTTGAAAAATCAAATAAAAATCATGCATTGACTGTAGGAACTAATATAGTGAATATTAAATTCAAGAAGTTGCTTACTGTTTGTTAGAAAACGTCTGTAAAATATTTTATAATTACACTTAGATTTTTAGGACATTTGGCCACTGTTTAACTACGAAGATTAATTTCTTTTCAATTTAAAGATTAAGTATTTAAATCAAAATTCTTAGGAATAGGATTAAATAAAATTTAGGCTTTGCAGTTTGTAAATAGTAAAATTCTAATTTAGCATTGACCGATACAGGTTTCTTGCAAAAGTGAAATCACACATTAAGTCAGCAATTTGATCTTGAAATAAAAATAATCCTGAGCTTTAATTAAATTTGCTTTAAAATTTAATTATTAAACCATAATATGATAATCCAGACAAGATGCATGCATACTGGTAGATAATGAATACAATCTTTTATAATTATTACTGCCTGGGTGGTAACTATTAGAGAGCGGTGTATACAAATATTAATTTATACACGCTTTTCTCTTTCAACCATGTCAGTGACATGATATTTTTTCAAGCTATCTAGACACATGACAGAGTAACTGGATTCACACCTTTTACAAGAGTTTTACGGTTATGGTATCAAAGTAAAGAAGATTAAGCAAAACATTTGAACTCGATTTACCATTTGCGTTTTTCTGTTGCATTATCATATGCACCTTTTCCAGTGAACACATAGAAGCAATAGTACAAGTATTGCATTAACAAATTTTCATTGATATATAAGTTACAAAAGTGAAGACAGAAAATACAAACATAATTGTTTAAAACGTTTCCATTCTATCCAGCCAGAAGGGAGATAACAAACCCTGCACAACATGTCAGTGTTTTATCTTTTAGAAGGATATATCAGATTTTCAATTTTATCAGAAAGAGGACTTTGTTATAAAATATATTTCATGATAATTATGAAGAATTATGGGAACAATAAATTGCTACATGAACATGCAGAAATCCCATGAAACCACAAAAAGATTCATAAATACAAAATCAGATACACAACATAAAAAAACAATATGAAAACATAGGTATATTAGGGTCTGATGATTTATTTTAATATATACAATATTCAATCTCGGCATTGTCCACTTCACAGAACTGGCATCATTTGCTCGAGTGATCACTGGAGAGCAAGGTCAGTCCACTGCAGGGAAAAATTGACACAAAACACATTCACAATTCATCTACCAATCATCTTAACATTTAGTGGCAATCACTCTCTGG